GAGCACTGAGTGCCACCTCCAGTCCTTCCTTGGACACCCCCAGGGATGGGGACTCCACCACCTCCCTGGGCAGCCCCTGCCAAGGCCTGACCACCCCTTCCAGGAAGAAATTTTCCCAATATCCAGCCTAGACCTCCCCTGGCACAGCTGGAGGCCGTTCCCTCTCCTCCTGTCCCTTGCTCCCTGGGAGCAGAGCCTGACCCCCCCCCGGCTCCCCCCTCCTGTCAGGGAGTTGTAGAGCCAGAAGGTCCCCCCTGAGCCTCCTTTTCTCCAGGCTGAGCTCTGTTCCCTCCCCAGGACCTGCAATGCAGCCCACCCGCCCCGGGGGCTGCCCATCCCTGCCCTCCATGCAGGGACTGGCCCCAGGCTGGCCCTCCTGGCCCTGGTTCTCTTGGGCTGGGCTCAGCTGGGCTGGGCTGGTTCTGGTTCAGTTGGTTCTGGGCTGGGTAGGGTTGGACTGGGTTCAGTTGGGATGGGTTGGTCAGACCGGGTTGGGTTGGATCTGGTTCAGTTGGATTTGGTTGGCTGGACTGGGTTGGGGTGTGCTGGGTTCAGCAGGGATGGGTTGGTTGGACTGGGTGGGTTAGACTGGGCTGAGCTCAGTTGGGCTGGGTTGGGCTGGCTAGGCCGGGTTCAGTCAGGATGGGTCGCTTGGACTGGGTTCAGTTGGGCTGGACTGGTTCAGTGGGGGTGGGCTGGTTGGGCTGGGCTGGGATCGCTCTCCTTTGGTTCACTTCACTGTTTGTTCTAAGGACAGGACCAGCAGCTCCCATCGCCTCGGCCCCACCTCCACCCCACCCAGCCTTGGCACACGCAGGACCTTCCTCCTTGGCTTTGGGGACACCATCCCCAGCCCCAGAGTGCCACATCAGCTTAACCAGGGGCTGCAGTGACCTGCAGGGCCTCTCCTCTGCCAGCTCCTCTCCCCACACCCCCGGGAGGTGCCCCGGGCCAGGAGCAGCCACTGGAGACGGGCAGTGAGCTGATCCCACCCCGAGCACCGTCTGCTGGGCCTTTGTGCTCGGGGGGATCCGCTCTCAGCCCTATTAATAGTTAATTCAAAGCCTTGCAACCGGAGCTGGGGTGAGCTCTGTGCGGGCTGTGCATTATGGATGGGAGCAGGGGGGGCTGGCAGAGCCCCTGCAGAGCCGAGGGGACACAGCCAGGGGTGTCCAGTCAAGGAGGGTCAGCTCTGCAGAGCCACAAACACGTGTCAGGCTCAGCGGGACAAGAAGAGTTCGTGGTAGGATTAAGTGGAACTCGTCTCCGTTACCTCAGCGAGCTCCTCCACTTTTCAAGGGTATTTCTCTCCGGGTGCCACTCTGGGTGAGCAGGAGTGATGTGGAGAGCAGCACCACCCTCCTGGCAGCACCTCTGAGCAGAGAGTCCGAGATCTCTGTTCTGCAGCTCCTGGGAGCCTCCTCAGCTCCGCTGGGTCCAGCTCCCTGCACTCCGGACCATGATTCCTCAGTGGAAGGAATTCTCCTCAAATCTTTTCCCCACTGTCCCCAGTTACCACTCAACTGTGCACATCCGAGGGAACAGAGGCAGGACATGTCAGTGTGGTCACAAAGAGCTCCCAGCCCAGAGCCCATCCCGAGGGTGCCAGAGCCTGTGTGATCCCTGAGCTCCTCCGTGCCCAACCCCAGAGCCCTGGAGCTGCCCAGGAGCAGAAGCCAAAGCGTTCCAGTGCACCAAACCTTCTTCCCTGGGAGGGTGGGGAGGCCCTGGCACAGGGTGCCCAGAGAAGCTGTGGCTGCCCCTGGATCCCTGGAAGTGTCCAAGGCCAGGCTGGAGCAACTTGGGATAGTGGAATGGGGTGGAACTGGATGAACTTTAAGGTCCCTTCCAACCCAAACCACTCTGGAATTCTACAAACCCACTTTGCCCATTAAGTGGATGTCTCCTTAAGCTGTACCTGAACTCTGCTTGTTTCAGGTGTGGATGCACCTCCCGATTTAGACCCTAAACTCCAAATCCCAGCAAGCACAAATTTAGTCCCAAAGGGACCAAATCCCTCCCTGGTTCACACTCCCAGCGCCCCTGAGTCATCCTGGCCCTGTGGCATTTATCCAGCCAGAACTGGGAAGCAGGAACAGAGCGTGGAATCCACGTCTCATGGCCCACCAGGGCAATCCTGCCCGTTTGCCTCATTCCCTCGGGGACACAGGGAAGTGGGGATGGGCCCGTTGCACCAGGCGAGCCCAAGCTGAGCTCCATCCCCTCGCTTCCATCAGACCTCGGGCTCAGAGCGATGGAATCGCGTGGAATGAGCTGCTATTCCCTGCCGGCCTCTTCCCACCCCGGAGCCCGTTTTGGTGGCCGGGCTGTGCGTGTGTCCCATCAGCGCCTGCACACCGAACACGGGGTTAAACACATCGCCCCGCTCCTCTCGCTCCGTCCCGACCCCCCCGAGCTCAGCCCCGGCTGCCCGGGAAGGAGGCGGGAGCGGGACCGGCCGGGAGCGGATCCGCGGAGCCCCCGCCCCGACGGGGCGGTCCCGGGGCCGCCCCCGCGCAGCCGCCGCTCGGCCCGGCGGGGCTGGGAGGGACCGGCAGCGGGGCCGGGAGCGGGACGGGCACCGGGAGCGGGGCTGGCACCGCCACCGGCACCGGGACCCCCCGTGCCGGGCTCATGCAGGGCTCGGCGCGGCGCCGGCCGTTCCCGGCGGCGGCCCCGGGCTCCCCCCCGCCCGCCGGGACGCTCTTCCCGGGCAGGTGAGACTGGGGACGGCGTTGGGAACGGGAAACCCCCCTCCTCCATCCCTGGGGTCCTCCCCCCGTGCGATCCCCCCGGGTCATCCCGCCCGGAGCCCCCCCAGGACGCCCCAGCGCCATCCAGCCCCATCCCGGATCCCACCGCCCCGGCAGGGATGCTGCGGGGGGTCCAGGGCATCCCGGGCATCCCGGAGGGTCGGCGTCCCCCAGCCTCGGGTAGGATTCCCCTATTCAGCCTTGCCCAGGGCATCCTGGCTTACCTGGGATGCCTCTTCCAGGGAGCCGCGGCATTCCCAGCTCCTCCAGGGCACAGCGGCTCATCCCGGGTACCACCATCCTCATCCTCCATCCACCGGCTTTCATGGAATCATCACGGAGTGGTGGTTTGGGTTGGAAGGGACCTTAAAGATCATCTCGTCCCACCCCCCTGCCGTGGGCAGGGACACCTTTCCCACTCTGGACCGTGGGCTCAGGTGGCACAAGCTCCAGGCTGATCCGGGTGGTGCCGTTCCGGTCTCGGCACCAGGAGAGCAATTCCACCTTTTCCCGTGGGGAGGTGACGGTCCAGAGGTGCTGGAGGGTCATTTCATGGAAGGACTTCAGCAGGGCTGGATGAGGCCTCGCTCTGCAGAGGCAGAGTGGGAGATGAAGGTGATAGTGCATCCCCAGCATCCCGGTGCTGGAATACCACCAGGAATCGCTGCATTGGGTGCCATGGGAGTTGGGATTTTGCTTTGTCATGGAAAAGTTAAAAATAGTTGCACTTCATTCAGCACTTTTCACCTTGATTTTTGTGCTGCTTCTCGGCCAGGAAGAGTCTTCCCACAGGGATGGGCTGGTGACAGTAACAGCTTTTTGCCTTCCTGTCCTGCCTCCTCCTCCTCCTCAGCTCTGTTATTCCATAAATCCCAAAGCCTGGTGATGCTCCGGCAGCCAGGGCAGCGCAGGATCTTTGAGCCCTGGGGTGCTCAAAGCCCCGTCCCACGGGCTCAGGCTGACCCTGTCCCTCTGTCCCTCCAGGCACGGGGCGGTGAAGGGCGAGGACACCTTCAAGACGTCCCCGTTCCACCTGGACCTGTGGTTCTACTTCACTCTGCAGAACTGGGTGCTGGACTTTGGGCGTCCCATCGCCATGGTGAGCCAGGGGGGCACAGGCCTCCACTTATTTTGGGGGGTGGGGTGGTCCCCGTGGGCTGTTTCCTGCTCCAGAGGGAGCTGTTCTGGGATGCACTGGTGTAACTGGGATCAAGGGTGTTGCTCCAGTCCTGGGGAAGGTCTCCTGTGAAACTTGTTCTGTGCCATCTCTCCCTCAACTTAATGTTTTCACAACAAAAGGGACCTGGGGAGGTTGTTCCATGTTATCTATCCCACAACTTAATGTTTTCACAACAAAAGGCACTGGGGAGGTTCCTGCTGCTCTTCCCATACCTTACCTGTATCTCTGGAGCTTGGAGCTCCTGCTCTCCAGCTGGAGCAGGACAGAAGTGGCCATTCCCCTCAAATGGAATTTTTTTATAGCTGCCACCTGGACGTGGCAGAGGGTTAAGGGAGATCCACTGCTGCAGGATTCCCAAATTCCTTCCTTGGCCCCACAACTTCAGGCAGTGATAGTGAACCCTCAGCTGTGCACTGAGCACTCACTTCCAGCTGGGCTTTTTGGGATGTTCACTCCAAGAAGAGCAGCCCAGCCTGGCTACTGACAGCTGCCTGAAGTCAAACTGACCATTAGAAACCAGCAGCATTCCCAAGATTTTCTCTCTCCCTGTCTTTCCCCCGGTGATGGGGCTGTGAGGAGATGCTGATGTGCTTCTTTTCCCCCCTGTCCTCAGATAATCCTTCCCCTGGAGTGGTTCCCTCTGAACAAACCGAGTGCTGGAGATTATTTCCACATGGCTTACAACGTTATCACACCATTTCTTCTGCTAAAGGTAACCCTGGGGGGGGGGCAGGTGTGAAACTTTCCTTGCCATTGTAAAAACAGGGCCAAAAAAATGCAGTTTTGTAAAGGTCGAGATTTTTTTAGGGTGGTTGGTTATTCCCAGATTCCCAAGCCTGCTGTAGGTTAAAGTTTGCCACTCCAGCAAGAATTTGTGATGGCACTTTTTAAAGTGCAAAGCAGTGACCACCTCAGTACACCTCAAATTCCTGCACAGACAAAGCAAATCACTTCCCCCGGGAATTCTGGTTCCAGGAGGAGTCAGAGCCCCTCTCCCCAGAGCATATTTTTAAGACAACATCCATCCTTGACTTAAAAGACCTTGTGAGACAGTTGGAACTACAGTACATTTTCTAAATTGCTCAGAGTTTAATTACACTTGCTCTTCAACATTAGAGTTGTGTCTTCAGCTGGAATTTATCTTGCTCCAGCTGCCAACCACTGGATCACAGAAACCATTTAAGAGGTTAAAGACTGTGGGGTCATTAGAAATCCTTTTATATTAAGCCAGAAGATACGAGAAAGCAATTATAAATATATTTTAACCTTCATTAGCTAGAAATTGAATTATGTCCTAAGATGTAAATTATTTTCTCTCTCTCTCTCTTGAGTCTGTCTGTGAAATTTTAAATGCTGGTTTGGCCAAAAAGGGGTATTGGGGAGTCTGTTCTTTGGATGTGAAAGCTCTGAGGCTCAGTGTGACCCCTCAGAGCTGACTTCTGCAGGCTGGGGGCTCAGCAGGTTAAAATTTGCTGTCTTGGACTTCCCTGGCAGCACAGAAAAATTCCACTTGTTATTCAAGGTGTGTTTCCTTTGCTGTGTGCCCTCCAAGGACGTGTCCCACCATCCTTTCCCATCCCACCAGAGCCCTCCTGGACCTTTCCCATCCCACCAGAGCCCTCCTGGACCTTGTGCTCTCCTTGTCCTCTGTGACTCCCGTGACGTTCGTGCAGCAGTTACAGGGAAAGGGAAAGTTAAGCCTCAAAATTAAATACAAATAAGGAGCTTTTCCCTGTTTGGGGAGGGCTGCAAAGCTGATTTGGCAGCGGGGAGAGGGAGGTGAAGGTGGCCTGGCTGATCCTGGGGTTGGGATGATGCTGCCCCACACTCGGTGTCTCCTCCGGAGCCTGAACCGCTCGAGCTGGGATTTGTCTTCCCGGGTGTTCCCTGCCCTGCAGGCTGAGTGTGGAGCTCCTTCCCCGAGCTCCTGCTCCCTGTTCCCAGCCAGGAGCTCGCCCCAGACTCCTGAGTCAGCCCCATGTGGCCTCCCCAGGCCTCGGGATGGGGCGGGGAGAGCTCAGCACTGCAACTGCTGCCCAAAAAGTTGCCCTGACCGGTTTTGCAGGGAATCAGATATTTCCAGATAAGGGGTTAAACACAGCTTATTCTGTAGAGGAAAATGCACAGGGAGGTGAGTCTGGTGAAAAAAAACAAACAGTTCAACAGGAGCCCTTGGAAAATGATCCTGTGGGGAGTTCTGAAGTCTCTCAGGCAGGGGAGGGAGGTGAGTGCTGAGCTGAGTGTGCTGGAGGCTCTCCCTGCCACTGGAGGGCACAGCCAGCCTTGGAGATCTGCTCCAGAGCCCGAGAAAACCTCTGCCTTTTTGCTTCTCGTTGCTCACCTTTGCTCATTTCTGGTGGAGAAACTGCTCCAGGTGCTGTGCCGGGAGCAGCAGAGCATGGAAAAGTCAGAGAGGGCAGAGCTGGGGTGTCCCTGCTGGTGTCTCCTCGCTGTCCAACACTCCCTGTGCTTTCAGCTCATCGAGAGGTCCCCCAAGACCCTGCCCAGGTCCATGATCTACGTGAGCATCATCATGTTTGTGATGGGGGCCAGCATCCACCTGGTCGGGGACTCGGTGAACCACCGCCTGATCTTCAGCGGGTACCAGCACCACCTGTCTGTCAGGGAGAACCCCATCATCAAGAACCTCAAGCCAGAGACACTGGTAAAGAGGATTCACAGTTATAGTTCATGGTTACTGCTAAAGAGGATGAGTTTTACAGAAGCACTCAGGAAATACGTGAACTGCCTGTTCTTGCTGAACGGCCCCGCTCCCCCTGCCCCTCTAAATCTCCCTCTGTGCTGTGTTGCAGATTGATTCCTTCGAGCTGCTCTACTACTATGATGAATATTTGGGTCATTCCATGTGGTGAGTGATTTGCAGCCGGGCTGGAGGCCCCAGAACATCACCCGAGGAAGGGCAGATCTGGGCAGATCAGAGCTTAATGTGGAAAAAAACCTGAAGCACAGCTGATGAAAGCTGGCTGGGGATAATGTTCTCATGGCCAGGGTGATTACAGGGGAGCTCACCCTTGGAAAATCCCGGTTTATCTCTGTCTCGGGGATATTTCTGGGATGTGGCAGTTGTTGGGCAGCTGCAGGGAACAGCTCATCCTTCCCCAGGATGTCCAGGTGGACAGACCACCCCCCCTTTGTGCTCCTCAGGGGTTTGACCCCCAAACACCCCAACTCAGAGACCCCAGGAAGGCCTGTCTGTCCCTTTGGCTGCTGCCAGATAATCCTGAGATGGCTCAGAGCAGAGGGAAATCTCTCCCCATCAGGCTTTCCTGGTTTATTTGCTGTTCCTCGAGTGCTGTGAAGCAAAACAATCCCATTCTTCTAAATAAAAAAAAAGGGCTCTGTGGGGTTATTGAAATCCTGGTGCACATCCTGCTTTCCTGCAGCTCAGCTTGGACAGGACACGAGGCTCTCAGAGCCTGGGAATGGAACAACTGGAATTGTTCAAGGAGCACTTGAGCCCAGGGTTTGCCCTAATCAGCAGAATTGGGCTTTTCCTGCCTGAGACTGGGAGTTCTCATTACCTGCAGGAGCACTGGGAACAATCAGGACACAAACAGCCCCTCACCAGCTGTGAGGGCTGTGGACACAGCAGGAATCCCAGAGCAAGAGATTCCACTTCTGCTCTTTCACCAAATTAACCCCCGGGCTCAGCCCAGGACCTGCCCACGTGCTTGGTTTGGATTTGGGAGGGGTTTAAACACTTCCCAGGGTCATCCCACTGATGGGAGTTGTTTCTCTTTGCAGGTACATCCCTTTTTTCCTGATCCTGTTCATATATTTCACGGGCTGCTTCACCCCTGTGGCAGAGGAGAGCAGGATGCCAGTGGCTGCCCTGCTCCTGGTGGGGCCCAGCAGCCTTTACTACTGGTAAGGGGCTTCTGGCCATGAGGGATGGGCAGGGATGAAGAGGGAATACCCCAGGGAATGCCCCAGGCAGAGTTCTCTGTTCCTCAGGGCAGCACTTGCTGCAGCTTCTGCTCTGCAGGGCTGGAAAATCAAATTAAGTCTCATTGAAATTCGCAGCCACTTCAGCCTCTGGATGTTGGGACAACTCCAGGGACACCCAGCAGGAATTCTGTCCATGCTTGGGGTGTTTCAGAGTTCCAGAAGGAACTGCTGCCTTCCCCCCCTCCAAGGTTTGCTGGGCCCTAAGACAGTTCCCTGAGGCTTTTGGGGTGGTCACCAGGTTCCTGCAGAGCATCCACGTGGTCCCAGCTCCCTGGTGGCTGGAGATGCTCTCACAGCTCCACCCAGAGCCCAGGGGATGCTCAGTCACAGCTTCCCCACCAGCCCTGGGGGGGTCCAAAGGGCCTTTTTGAGAGAGGCCTTATTTATTTCCCATTTTCATGAGCCTCCTCTTGCCCAGTGCTGTCCCTGGTGGCAGCCAAACAGCTTCTCACCCACCCCTGTTCCCTCTTGCCCTGCTGAGACTGGTTTTATCCAGCAAATTAATTCTTGACAGGCAAGATCACCCAGATGATTTGGTCAGTCCCCAGGTACCCTCCTGCACTTCCCTTCAGTGGGTCAGTGTGGATCTCTGTGGTTTGTGTGGGATTGAAGAGGCAGGAGTGCAATTCCTCCTTTCCTGCTGACCCCCAGGCACAGTCCAGGGGGATTTGGGGATAAATGAGCACAACAGCCACGGGTGGGAGCCAGAATCCAGCTTTGGTTCTGCCTTTGAGCATCCCAGACACAGAGAGCCCAGCACCTTTCCCTTCCCATACTGAGGGATAAAGGGAACAGGGATAAAGGGAACATTCCTTTATCCCTTCTCTTCCCAAAGCCCAGGTGTTAAATTACTGATGAGAGTCACGAAAACAAATCAGGCAGCAGGAGCAGCACAGCTTTGGGGGGATGTGGAGCAGGGAAAAGGGGAGATGCTCATCCCTAAGGCTGGAAGTGCTGCCCTCCCTCAGAGCTCCCTCCTGGCATCACTAACAGGAGTTTGACCTTTGCAGGTACCTGGTGACAGAGGGGCAGATCTTCATCCTCTACATTTTCACTTTCTTTGCCATGATGGCTTTAGTGATGCACCAAAAAAGGAAGGGACTTGTCCTGGACAGCAACGGGCTCTTCCTCTTCTACTCCTTCATCATCACCCTCCTCCTCATCGCTGGCTGGGTGGCCTGGCTGTGGAATGACAAAATTCTCAGGAAGAAGTACCCTGGAGTGATTTATATCCCTGAGCCCTGGGCCTTTTACACCCTGCACATGAACAACCTCCACGCAGCAAAGGAAAGTTTCTAAGTTTTGATATTTTGGAGCGATTTGAAAAGGGAAAAAAAAAGAATTCTAGTTTTTCTAACGTAGATTTAATGTATTTCCAATAAATTCCTGACCGACCTTGGCTGCAGGAGGTGCTGTGTGATAACTAGACCTGGCTGGGGAGGGGGTGTTCCCCCCCAAAAATAGGGGTACAGTGTAGCTCTTCAGAGGCAGAGTTGGGGTGTCTCCCTGTGTGCCCTCACAATTCCACAGCTCAGTTCCATGCTGGACTTATGGGACAGCACCAAAGCCCTCCTGTATCACAGCAGGGGCAACATCCCAGCCAGTGGTGAACCCCCCCAGCACCACTGTCACCCCACAGAACATCCCGGCCTGGGAGGGGGGTGGTTTGCCAGGAATCTCTTGGCACAGGGAGATAGATGAATGTGCTCCTCCCTCGCTGCTCCCAGAGGAGCAAACGTGCCAGGAAGGGGCTGAGCTGCCCTGCCTGGGATCTGCAGGTGGCTCTGCCTCTCCCAGGAGCCCTCCCGGGGTCAACCCTCACTTTGGAGCTCAGACCTGGGGCAGGAAGGGCCAATTCCCCACAAACGGCCCAAAAAACACCTCTGGCAGGGGGTGAAATCCAGTGCCAACCCCTCTCACGTGAGGTCTGTGCCAACAGCAGCTTCTGCTCCTGCCCAAAAGGGCCAATTCCCCACAAACAACCCAAAAGGAGCATTGGGGAGGGGGTGATCCCTGGACATCAGCAGCAGCAGCTCCAGCTCCCCCCTTCTCCAGCTGCATCCCTGGCTGGGTTCAGCTCTGTGCCATTTGTGTCAGAGCCCTGTGGGACACAATCCAAGTGGCAGGGGGAGGAAAAAAACCCCCAAGCTTCCAGCAAAACACAGAGAATAAAAACATTTGGTCAAAGCTGAGTGACTCACGTTCTTCCTGCGGCAGCTTGGGAGGGGAGAAGCTTCATCCCACCACATTCCAGGACCTTGGATGTGTCACTGTGACAGAGCAGGGTCCATGTTATGATGGTCACTAAATGTCTTGTCCTTGGGTCTGGATCTCCACCACAGCCTGGCAGCAGCTGCTTCACCCCCTGCTAGTTGTTAAATGCTGACAAATAAAAACTCAGGCAATAAAGAGCTTTTAAACCATCTCAAATATCCCTTCTTGGCCTGCTGAGCTTGAGGGGCACATCCAGACCCCCCGGGAGGGCACAGGGACATCACCAGGGGTGCCCACCTGAATTAGCCCCTGTCGTGCCCACACCCCTCCAGCCATGCCCTGCAGGGCTGCAAATCCCCCCCTCCCTTCCCCACCGAATTCCAGCAGGGCCGGATCTGTGTCCCAGCACCACCGTGTGCAGCTCTTGGAGGGGATCACACCCGACCAGCCCGAGCCCAAACGACTCCAAACCCCCCGAGCGGGGTCCTGAGCTCGGGGCAGGGTGGGCAGAGCCCTTTTCCCGGTGGAGCGGGAGCGGCGCTGGCAGCGGGATCCAGGCAGGGATCAGGTCTCGTAGCCATAGCAGCGGGTATTTATTACAGCCGGGCCGCCTCCACCCCGGGGCTGAGGGACTTTAGCCCTTCATCGAGGAGAAAAGTGGCAGCAGCCGCCTCCGAGCCCGACGGGCAGCGACGAACACCCGGATCGGCCCCAAAATCATGGTGAGTGCGGCATCCCAGCTCCTACAGATCGCTCCCCCTGTGCTCCCCCCGGCCAGATTTTAAAGCTGTTTGGGTTTTTTTTTTCCCCCCTCTCTTTTCCTTTCCTCTCCCCTTTCTCTCTCCAGGCAAAGTTTCTGTCCCAGGATCAGATCAATGGTACGTACGGTTCTGTTCTCCTCTGGGGTTTTAATGAGCAAGATCAGCTTCACAAATTAGGATGGATAGATATAAAAATGGCATTTCCCCCCAGAGTGTCTCGTGCTGGGCTTGTGCTCCCTCCCCTTGGCCTCCTCCCAGCTCTCCTGGGATCTGTTTGCTCTGAAAACAGGGAAATCCCCCCCCCAGGTTTTGTTTGGAGCCCCCCCAAAAGCACCCCCAGAGCCCAGGCTGGGTTGCACAGGGACCAGCAGAGAGTCACCAGCCACCTCCCACTCCTATAAACACGTCAGCCCTGGCCAAGCCATCAGGGGTCAGGGGATATTCCAGGTGCCCATCTGCAGCTCGGGAGGTTTGAGGTGTGATGGGAGCGAAGGAGGAGGAGGAATTGGGGGGTGCAGGGGGTACAAGTTCCCATTGTGAGGCGCTGGGGCTTCCCTGGGAAAGGGGAGCCCGGCCTGGGACTGGGTTTGCTCCGGGAACGGCGGAAGAAAAGCTGAAATAAGAGTATTATTGCAAATCTGTTAATCTGCGGGGCCCTGGGGCTCAGCAGCTCTGCAGGATTGGAGGGAGGAGGCCACGGCACCCAGGGGCACCCAGGGGCACCGAGGGGCCCTGGCACTCTGCACATCCCCCTGCAGGGAGGGCTGGGGGCACAGAGGGGGAGGGAGGGATGGCACCAAAACAGGCGGATTTTCCCCGGGCAGCACAACTTGCTGTCAGTGTCGAGCCTGATGAGGAGAAGGGGACGGGAGCAGCCTTATCTAGGTCAGCTCCAAGCCGGGCTTTGTCACTGGGAAACTGGGAAGCGCCGAGGTCGAGGGGGAAGGGGAGAGGACGAGGGGTGCGGGAGGGGGATGCTGCAGACCCGGCACCCTCCACCCCCCCCCCACCCCACCGCCCCATCCTCCTCCATCCCCCCCATCCTCCTCCACCGCTCCCTCGGCCTTCTCACCCCCCTCTCCCACCCCCAGGAAGGCAGAGGAAAACACTTTTTTTAAATAATATCCTCCAGGTTTGAAAGCCTGGCCCCACTTTTTCAGCCTCCCCTCGTTAGGCTGAAGGACCCCAATTATCCCCGGCGTTCCCCAGCCGGGGTTTTAATTGCCCTTGGCTCCTTCCCCCGCTGTCCATCACCCTCCCTGCAAGGAGACACCCCGGAGCCGACACAATATCCCTGTTGGAATCCTTCCAGCGCCATCCAGGCGGCGGGAGCGGCCCCGTCGCACGGGCGGCTCAATGTGATCTTACACGGCCTGACAGAGTTTTGGTTTTTAATTAGAGTTCAAGGAATGTTTTTCCCTGTATGACAAGAAACAAAAAGGGAAGATAAAGGCCTCGGACCTGCTGGCAGTGATGAGGTGCCTGGGAGCCAGCCCGACCCCGGGGGAGGTGCAGAGACACCTCCACCTGCACAGGATCGGTGAGCACGGGGCAGGGGCAGCAAAAACACCTGCATTAGGGTTGGAAAAATTCATTTTTTGGGGGGGTCAGGAGGCTGCCTGGAGCCCGGGAGTAACATCCACTCTCTGGTGAACCAGCACAACCGAGAGCAGTCACCAAACCCTGATTATTTTAGCACGTTGTGATGTGCTAAACGAACGTGATCCAGTCCACAGATTAAAACAGTGCCATTAAAACCCTCAAAACTTCCAGAACAATGGGAGACAAAGACATGGATGTGGACTTTGAGGCTGGGGAACTGTCCAGTCCAACCAGCAGAGCAGAAGAGCACAGAAAGGTATTTCTCTGCAGATATGGAGGGTTATGGTCTTTAAATCACAAAGACTGAAGAAGAATTATGAGATAAGGTGGGGTGGATTAAAAATTCTGCATGCAAGTTCAGAGCACGAGTTTAGCAAAGCTAGAAATGGGGGTTTAAGACAGGAGAAAGCCCTCAGTAGTGGCCCAACCTGATCCAGACCAGAGGCAGGCAAAAGGGAAGAGAAACGCCAGGAAGGGGAACTGGGGGGGATGAGGAGGGGAAAGCTGAATTCTGGATACACACCCCACAGAACTGAGCCACTCCTGGAGAATCTCTTCCTTTGGCAGACAGAAACGCAGAGCTGGATTTCTCCACCTTCCTGAACATCATGTACAGGCAGATGAAGCAGGAGGAGCCCGAGAGGGAAATCCTGACGGCGCTGGCCATGATCGACAGGCAGAGGAGAGGAGTCATCCCTGTGGCAGAGCTGAGGGCAAAGCTCACCAGGCTGGGGGAGAAGCTTTCTGAGGAGGAAGGTATTGAGACCTGGATCAGACCCTCCCCGTCCTCTCGTTCCCTGATTTTCCTCTGCAGACAAACCTGGGATGAGGAAGGGCCTGTGCCAGCAGGAGATGGGAAAGGGAAAAAAGTATAAACCCCCAAACCTGTCCAGTTTGTCAGAAATTTGCCTCCCAAGGGGCACAACAGGAAGGAATTGGAAGGTGAAGATGATCAAGACCTTCTTTGCCCTGGCACAGGTTGCCCAGAGAAGCTGTGGATGGACCCCTGGAAGTGTCCAAGGCCAGGCTGGATGGGTCTTGGAGCAGCCTGGAATACTGGAAGGTGTCCCTGCCCATGGCAGGGGGTGGAATGGGATGGGCTTTAAGGTCCCTTCCCACCCAAACCTTTCTGGGATTATTTTTTTTGCCCTACATGTTTTATGTACTTATTTAAACTCTTTAAACACATTCCCACACTAACACAGGCAAGGAGGGAGTTTTCTCTCCTGTACAGACCCCTTTAGGCTCCCTGAGGGGGTAAGAACTGTCCTGTCTGATGTTAAATAGAATTTAGATTTAACCAGAGCTGCTCAGTGCAGTCACCATCCCCAGCTTCACACCAACAAGGAATTTCTTCCAAGGGTTTTCTTCAATTTAACTGGACTAATAATTCCCAAAGCTATTTCCATGTGCAAACACTTCCAGAGCATTTTGAGGGCTGAACACACAGCCAGGACAGGGAGACATTAACCCTGATTAAAGGCATCCTGGAAGAACCTCTTTCTATGAAGATTTGGGGGGTGCAGGGGGATTTCCCATTCCTTTGGGATCTCACTTGTGCAGATCCTCATGCAGGAAGCGATGCTGCTTCTCCTCAAGAAATTCCCCCCTTGGCTTTTCCCCCTGAGCTCTGAGCTGCTGGAACTATTTGATACCAGGACAGACTCCATTTCATCAGCATCTGCCATTGCCCAGGAACTGCTGGCACAGCCCTTCCCTCTCCAGTGGCTCCAGAAAAGCCTTCACTCATTGGAATTAATGCCCTTGTACCAAACTCAGACATTTTTTCTTGTGTTGTTTTCAAACACTCTGGGAAGAATTCATTATTTTCTGAGTTTGTGTCCTCAGAAGGCTTTGAGGACAGGGTATTCTTTGAGCAGCAGGGTGTTCTTGTTGAAAGGGGGATTAGATCTCATGGAAAGGGAGTTGTTCCTCACCTTACAGGAACAACAGCCCCTCATTTATCCCACTGCACCCAAATCCTGCAGCAGCTTCCACTTACCCCTCAATTCACTGATACAAACAGACCTACAAACAGGTGATGCTGTTCAGAGACACCTTCCACAACTATTTACTGTAAAGCAGCTTTTTTCCTCCTAAATTCTTCCCCCTTCCCATGGTTTTCCCCCGAATTTCACAACTGGCAACTGCAAAATCATCGTGTGCTCCAGGATGAGCATTTGGGGTCTGGTTTAAACACCCACGGGTTGTTCAGCCTGAAGAAAAGTTCTGGTGCCCTCAGCCAAGTAGGTCACAGGTGAAAATGTCACCACTGACCTGCTCTCACCTGTTCTGGACTGGGAGGACACTGGAGCACTGCCCTGGACAGGCAATTCCAGGAAAAACGGGCAGGAGAGTATGGAGGACTTGTACTCAGCACATCCCATGTGTGATCCCAGTGTCTCCAGGGTCAACCAACGGCCTCCAAACACCCAGAGTTCCCTGCTAATGGAATATCAAAGGAAAAATGCAGGTGCACAACCCAGCAGCTCCTCTCCATCCTCTCTGCACCACATCCAGCTGTGATCCTGGAAAACAGGGACACGCTGGGGGCACTGGGAGGACAAAGCTCCCCTGGGCTGCACGAGATGCCTGACCCAGGAACTGAGCCCAGGAAAGCTGCTGGGATGCCCTGATGTTTGTTCTCAGGGGTGAAGGAAACAGGCCCAAGGGAATTCACCTCCTCTCCTGCCATCCCAAGGAAGTGGCATCCAATTCCCAGGAGCGGCGTCATCCAACGCTGCATTCCTGATGTACTTCTATTTCCCTGACATTGTTTGACAAGAAAAGTACCTTTTATGGTTTAGGCTGTACAGAAAAGAGTGTTTTAAGACAGGTATAATAAGTGCTGTCACTGCCAAGAGCTGGAATGAGAAGTGTCACCACTGCTGGTGACAACTCCCCTCCGAGTGTTTGCAGAGCCCCAGCTGGGAAGGTGTTCTCTGCCTTCAAACACTGAAGGCCTGTCAACATGAAGCAGAATCACACCAATCTACTTAAAAATGGGCAGGAAAAACCTGCATCCCCACGTAGTTTGGTCTGATTTGAACAGGGACAGGTTTGCAATTCAAGTTAAATCAACCAGGTCTTACCAAAAAGCTGATTTGGACAGAATTTGTGAGGTTTTCCCATGTGGAGCTCAAAGAGATGGACAGCTCTGCTCTGGAAAGTTAGACATGAAATTCAAAATCAGTGTTAAGAACACTAGTTTATCACCTGGCTGGCGCCTCGCTGATCCCAGAAATTATTATTTCTGATAAAAATCCCTGAAACCCCCAAATCCTGCCTTGCTGCTCTTCCTTTGGAAGATCACAACACCCCTAATAAATGCCACTCAAACTTGTCTCTTCCTTTTGCTCTTTTTCAGTTGATGACCTGCTGAAAGAAGCCAAAATTGGGCCAAATGGAACAATAAAATACGACGAATTTGTTCGCCTCATTTGCCTTCCCACGGTCGACTACTGAAATCCTACAGGAGGTTTGCTACAAGCAGGACCTGAAAGTTGTTTTTCACTTCAATTTTTCCTACTTGGACTTCTGGATCATTTGCCTTTAAAAAGCCTTGTTTTGCCTTTATAACAGTGCTTAAACTTACACAGGTTCCCACCTCATTTCTGGAGAAACGGTGTCACAAAATGTGAGTTATTTAAATTAAACCGAGCGTGACATTCCCCTCCTGCAACACGTGGTGTGCTTTAAAAAAATAATTCTTGGTTAAAAAAATGCATTTAAGCCCGGGGATTGTGGCAGAATTGATAAGCTGTGGTGAAGGTCTCCTGGTGCCCCAAGTCAACATCCCCATCACGTGCCCGGTGCCCGGATCTGTGCCCACATTCCGGGCTGGGTGCCAAGGACACGCTCCCAGAGACAGCCTGGCAGGGAAAACAGGGCCCAGCAAAGCTCAGCTTCTCTGCACCAGCAAAAACCTCCCCAGCTCTCTGACTTCAGACTGATTAAAACCGCTTGGACCCAGAGCAGTTCCTGCTGATCTTATTCCACCTCCATCTCAGCAGCCTTGGTAAGATCCATAAAGGGGTAGCTGGAATTTAGGAGAACATTCAGCAGGTTATCTCTGGAGCCAGCTGGAAAATGGCACAGAAATCAGCTTTGCACAGGCAGGGCACAAGCAGCAACCTGGAAAACCCTCTGGAAGAACCCACGTTCCTACGAGTCTGATGTGGCTTCTGCCTCCAGGAGCCTCTTCCTCTCCCTCCTCCCCTTTTTTAATCCTGAATCCCCTCACTCTTTGCTCTGTGAAATAATCACCAATTAAATCATGGCACAGCAGATCCAATGGATTAGGAAGGAATCCTTCCCTGGGAGGGTGGGCAGGCCCTGGCCCAGGTTGCCCAGAGAAGCTGTGGCTGCCCCTGGATCCCTGGAAGTGTCCAAGGCCAGGTTGGAGCAATCTGGGACAGTGGGAGGTGTCCCTGCCCATGGCAGGGGCTTGGAACGAGATGATCTTTTAGATCCCTTCCAATCCCACGCATTCCATGATTCATTTATCCCAGAAGACACAAAGGCCACTCAGGAAGATCACACAAAGCTGCAGCAGCATCACCCAGGGCACAACAGGCACAAACCTGGTTAGAAACTGAAAAAAACCCCAAAGAGCAAATCTCAACTTTCCAAATCAGTGTCTCTGTAAAGGTAAAATAGGGATTATCCTCATGGAATATTACATGGGGGGGGGGAAGCACAAGAGATTCCATGACATGCCAAGTGCTGTGCCAGAAAAGGAAGGAGATCCAGGATCTTCCAGTCCTGCAGGTAAGAAAAGCAGCAGGTTTTACCATTTGGTTTTGCCACCCCCCTGATCCAGATCCAGGTCCCTGTGGATGTCACAGCAGTTCCAGATCAACCCAGGAAGCTCAGACCTGGATCCTGATGCGTCCCAGCTCTGAGCAGGTCACACTCCAAGGGGAAAGGAACTTTGCTCCCTGGAAAACTGACACACCCCTTAGTTCTTAATGAGCTCTTCCTACTCTGTGGATAGAAAATAAAGCAGGAAAACCAAATTTCTCTAAATATTCACTTGAGCAACACCCCAGAAAAGCAGCACACAGTGGATGAGAGGTGAGATTCCCTGGAAAACCAAGAGCAGGTTAAATTGAGAGCAAAAGGTGGGAATTCCCTGGTAAGTCTGTTCCCACCACTCAGTTAATCCCAGTGTTGGGATAAACCCCCACGTACCTGACACTGCAGCTTTCCCACACCCTGGAGGTCATTCCCTGCCTCCAGAGCTCTCCAGAACTTTGCTCCACGAGCCCCAGGACACAGCAAACCCCTCACTGAGCATCAGCAGCTCATCACACCAGGAGTTCACTGAGAGCACTTGTTCCCAGTGGGCACCAACAGCCGAATTCCAACTGATCCAATCACTCCCCACAGCCCAGGACAGCGGAGAACAAATCCTTTCACACACACAGTGGAAAAGCCTGGATGTCACGGGGACTGGGCAGCTCCCAATCCCTCTGGATTACTCCAGAAGGCAGCTGTATCCCAACAGGCTGGGGGGGAAGAACATTCCCAAAGGAAAGCTGGCAAAGAGGAAAGCTGGCAAAGAGGAATCACACTCAGACACACTCAGGGAACAAAGCAGGGTTGGCAGAGCTTGGAGGGACAAGAGTGAGACACCCCAAGCCACAAACAACTAAAAGCAAAGCATTCCAGGTCCAAAAGAACCACAGGAATCACCCTCTGCCCCCTCCCTCCCTTTTCTCCCCCCCTCAGGAAACACAACATAACTGAATGCTTTTTATTACATCTAAAGATTTCTACAGAAACAGGTAACATTCAATAGGTAAACCAGGTTTTTTTTTTTTTTCCAATGCATATAATAAATATTTTCACTTGGTACTTTTATACAAACTGACATTGGTCTACTATACATTTTTAAAAGCCATTTACTGGTTTGGCATGCCAAAGTATGGAAACTAGGAGAAAAGTCTTAAGGCAATGAATGACAGGTTTAAATTCATGGAATTAATGGTAATTTTTAATATTCTGCTTATATACATTTTTTCCCTTTGTTAATTAAAACAATTAACAGCAGCACTTTCGGGGACCACCAGCAATTTTCCCTTGTTAGAAATCTAAGTTCTGTTAAAAAAAAAAAAAAAAAGAAAAGAAGTTACACTGATAAAACCAAAATCTCTTCTATTTAAAATGTGCTTAAAACCCTGAAATGTTAAACTGCAATAAAAATTAACTTTTCAAACGTTCTCCTCACAGTCCTCAGCTCTGCTTTGGGAGGCAGGTCCACCAAAGTCCAAGGAAAAGCCATCAGCCATCCCATCCTTGAAAGGGTTATGGAATCTTTGCCACAGAGAGAAGGGGGGAAGCCTGGGATTGCTGTTCCATCCCTAAGGAAGTGCTGGGAAGTTTTTAAGGGATAGTTTAGTGTGGGTTTTTCTAAAGGATGCAGGAGTGACTCAAAGCCACCCCGCTCCTCCAGGAGCCGTGTGTGCATGGACACACACGGAGCTCTGGGACACACATCCCACTCCTCTCAGGGAAGAATTTTGGGATAAGGGACCGCTATCCTAAGGATCACAGCAACTGCCACCTGCAGGGAACGGAGCAGGAGCACAAGCCAGGACTTGTGACCTAAAGGAGCCAAGTTCTGGAGTGAGGTTTGCGGGGAATGGTGGAGAACTCAGACTGAGACTTCTACCAAGCAACGTTCACCGTGGTCAGAGGCACAGAGAATTACCCAGCTCCAGGAACACCCGGGCACGACACAGGAATACTCACAAAGCACATGGATAATACCACAAAGGAGGACTGGAGACCGTTGCTGGCCCTTCTTTGCAGAGCACTGAGGTTAAAAATGCCAGCGGGGCACTGAGAGCCTTTCCCCCCGCGGGGGCACCGGCAGGAACTGGAAGACGCCGTCGGCCGACCTCACCTTCCCAAAACCAGGCATCAGTCACCTCATCCCGGGATACCACACACTCCCACGGGGCAGTTTGGATGCGATAACAAGATTTTAATACCAAAAAAGTGACACAAAGCTGCTCTTCGGGTCGTCTGTAACAACACAGTCAATGGAAACGTCGCCACGAGCGTCGGAAAAGCAGCCGCGGGCTCTCCCGGATTCCTGGTGTTCCAGAGCCTGGGACACGCTCCTGGAACAGCCCAGGGCAGCCACACTCCAGATTTACAAAGATCATAGCAAATATGCTCTGAAGTTACCAGGTTAGTATCCATGACTACAAGGTATGAGATATATTCCTAGTGTAGGTTTAATCACTTCAAAATCAGACTGTTTAAAAAATAAGTATTTCCCATTTTCTATCCTTTTATTTATTTTTTTTTAACTGACATTTAATAAATTATAAAATTGGTGTATGGTGAAATATATATATCAGCCAGATATGTATGAAATACACATGCATGGGAAAAACTATTTAACTCACTTTGAACTCACACACACGGATCTATAAATACATATATACACACACATATACATATAAACACAAACATTTTGTTTTGCAAAATTCAAGTCAACTATTTAGTGGCAGAGGGATGCTGTAAAAACACTAAAAACGATTTTGATGCCACATAATGTGAACCTTTCAAATAACCATACGACTGATCATACAGCAATACCTAATGCTACTTGGATTAAAGATTTTTTTTTCTTTTTTTTTCCTTTTTTTTTTTTTTTTTAAATCAATGCAAGATTTTCTGAGACGACTTCATAGGCAAAAGGTGGCCCTTGTCAATGCTCGAAGCGAAGAGCTGCAATCAACAGTTTTGGACATGAAAAATTCAGACAAGAATCTGCTAATTGTAGTATTCCTTAACTCTCTTTTCCTGATAAACTTGTTACCTGCACTTTCAACCAGTTATAAAAATATTTTTCACGCCAGAGGAAATATTAACTCTCTCTGACATGGACTTTGGGACACAAGAGAATCAACTTCCTTCCCTCCCCCTTTTCTCTGACTTTAAAGAATCTCCTGAAAAACTGCATTCCAGCTATTTACACATTTGTCACTCTTTAAGAAGAACAGATCAGCCCAAATGACCCATCAGTTCTAAAAAAAGATTTTTCCTATGTCATGCACAACGTTAAAAAAAAAAAAAAAAAAGAAACCAGGAAGTAAATATGGCTCCAAGTTCAACTGAAAAATCTGGGAAAGCAAAAACAATTCCAAGGCCAAAGAGAGAAAACTGAATTTCGAAAGCCACTTCCCTAAAAGACTTGGATAGGGAGTCCCTGGGATCCAGGTGGGTGGTTGCTTGGGTCGGGTTTTGGTTTCAGACTCACACTGAACACTGAATATTCATTGGGATGAGTGTGAACTCGGCAGCCCAAGAGCATGATCAGCTGCACAAACCATGCAAGAGTGTGCTGGGAGTTGGATTTTCTCCTTGTATTCAGTTGACAAGTTCACTTGGAAGCAGAAATTTTTGATCCACTGCAGCTAAAAGGAGGTTTTTCCAGAGGGAACAAGGCGGGCCCTGATTGCCAAGGCCGTTGCTACAGGCATGGCTAAGGGGAAAGCACAAACAGCTCCACAGATTTCAAACTGACACATGCTCAGTATTTTGCTGATTAAGATCTTAAAGTCATTGGAACAGGGTTTTATAGGAAGTTCTTAGAAAGAAAACCCTCCAGTCCAACGTGTTGACACGGGGATTTGGGGCTGGACTCCATAAAAATGTCCCAGAGAAGCAGAGCCAAGGAATTCCTCAGCCTGGGATTTTGTTGAGTCTGGCCCTCAGGAATAACTGAGCCATGGAAAATGCTGAGTTGGAAGGGACCCACGAGGATCATCGAGTCCAACTCCTGCTCCTGCACAGGACACCCCAAAACCCACCACGTGCCTGAGAGTGTTGTTTACACACTCCTTGAACAGGCCTGGAGCTGTGACCACACCTTGGGGAGGCTGTTCCAGTGCTCAACAACCTTCTCCTGGGATCCATCCTAACCCTCCCTGACTCAGCTTCCCTGCCTTTCCCTCAGGTCCTGTCACTGATGAACTTGCCACGTGCTTGATTGAAGTGTGGAATTCAATAAAGGGTCACACAGAGATGACAAAAAACTCCTAAAAAACCAAACCCACTCCTGAAAGGCTCTGTCCTGCAAACAGAAGGGAAGCAGAGCAGGGTCTACTCTGCTTTAAGCATAATAAAATCTGCACTGAACGTGGGATGGGGGAATTAAGATTCCACCACCGAAGGGAAATGTCTCCAAGAGGAGAAAAAACCCTCTCTCCCAAGCCTGAACTTTTAGAAGTTCAGCTCCTTTCCTGGTTATGTTACTGTGAGGAAAATAATGCCATTTGTGTCCAAACTAGAGGGGAAAAAAAGAAAAAGAAACTCACATGACAAATGCACAGGTGTAAAATCTTCAGCATCCATAAAAATGAACTGAAGCTCCTTGTTTTTGTTATTTTTTTTGTTGGTTTTTTTGTGTTTTTTTTTTCTTATTTTTACCAGTGAGGCCATCTTAGGTTTATATACAAAAGTAAAACTGAAAATATACTTTTGTTCTCTGTACACGTAAATTTTTTTTTTCCCCCTAAAAAAGGAAAAAAAAAAAAAAAAAAAAAAAAAAAAACGAAAACAAAACGAAATGAAAAAAAAAACAACCAAAATCAAAACAAAACTTTGTCTTATGTTTCTAACATAAAGTAAAAACCAAGCACAAAGATTTCCTCTGTCCAAAAAGGATCAGTCCAATGAGATAATGTCTGGTATGATACCAAAGATTGACGCCGTGTCCGTGCTGCTCCTACTTGCAACGGGATGCCCATGATTCTCTCGCAGGCTGTTGGAGGAAACAAGACTGCTGTTACTGCCACTATTGCTACCATTTGTGGCTGGCAGGGAACTGCTTCCTCCTGCATTGAGCTGATCGAGAAACATCTGGGATGAAGTGTAGGGGAAAAAACGGGAGTGTAAAAGTTCTTGATCATCGGACGCGGAAACCGCCGCGGCTGCGGCGGCAAGGAGGGAGGTGTTGTAATGCTGGGGGGAAAAACAACAAGTTAAACTTCAGACACAGGACAGGTTGGATTCAGAGCAGCACAAAGTGAAGGGGTTTGTTAAGCTAAGGCTCTGCTGGGTTCGGGGGTTCACGAGGTTTGCGGCGAGGGGGGCGACGCCGAGGAGTTTGAGCTCCGCGGCCCCGCGCGGCTGAAGCCAAGAGGGAGTGGCTGCAGAGTCCTAAAACTGGCTTCACAATCCTAAAACTGGCTGCAGAATCCTAAAACTGGCTGCAGAATTTCAAAATTGGTTGCAGAATCCTAAAACTGGCTTCAGAATCCTAAAACTGGCTTCAGAATCCTAAAACTGGCTTCAGAATCCTAAAACTGGCTTCAGAATCCTAAAACTGGCTTCAGAATCCTAAAACTGGCTTCAGAATCCTAAAACTGGCTTCACAATCCTAAAACTGGCTGCAGAATCCTAAAACTGGCTGCAGAATCCTAAAACTGGCTGCAGAATCCTAAAACTGGCTTCACAATCCTAAAACTGGCTGCAGAATTAAAACTGGCAGAATCCTAAAACTGGCTTCAGAATTTCAAAACTGGTTTCAGGATTTCAAAATTGGCTTCAGAATTTCAAAACTGGCTTCAGAATCCTAAAATTGGCTTCAAAATCCTAAAATTGGTTTCGGAATTTCAAAACTGGCTTCAGAATCCTAAAACTGGCTTCAGAATTTCAAAATTGGTTTCAGAATTTCAAAGTTGGCTTCAGAATTTCAAAACTGGCTTCAGAATCCTGAAATTGGCTTCAGAATTGCAAAACTGCCTTGAGAATTCCAAAAGGAATTGGAAATGCTGGTGTTGGTAAGAGCAAACACTGCCAAGGGAACAGGATTGGCCACACACCCAAACCAGGAAGGAAGGGGAAGCAGCAGCACTGTTTTACCTCTTAAAAAAAACTCCCTGGTGGCAAAATTCCCCAAAATTCGAAAAAAAAAATATTGTGCCATCCCCTCATCAACCCCAGCTGGGGAAACTCTGTGAAAAATGCATTTACAGCCAGTTTATTCCCATGGGATGGAGCCAAGGCTGTCCTAGGTTATTCTCTCTGGGGCAGCCCCTGAAAGGCAAGAGCTATCAGGAATCAGGTTTTAAATACAACTTTTCTGTGGGGCGATTTTGCTCTCAATGTTTCTTTCCACTGTGATGAAACATTCAGGCTGTTCAACCTTGCTCCCCAACATTTCTGCACTGGCACTGTCAGTGCAGCACTCCTTGTTTCAGAGTAATTCACTTACCTGTGTTTTAGTGAATATTCCTAAATCCAAATTCTAGAGTGCAGGCTCTGCTCTTAATTAAGATATGAAAGAATCCCTCTGTATTTAGTGCCATTTTCCTGCTTAGCACTGCAGGAAGGGCTGGTAAGACACCCCAGCCCCTTCTTTTCCTGGAGGAAAAGTGAGCCAGCAGGACTGTCCAGAGTGCCAGGGGTGGGACCTCAGGGCTGGAAAATGAAGGAGGTGCTGCTGCACCTTCAGCCCCAGCCCAAGGTCATCCCACAAGAAAAACTGGCTGCTGAGCTTAACCCAACTATTTGTTTTTTGTTGTGCCTCATCCTTCACCTGTGTTTAGGCAATGCTTGTGTTTGGTCACAGTTTGTGTGGATAAAAGAAAGCTGCAGCCTCCCTAATTTCACACCTACATCATAAATCTGCTCCTACACAGTCAGGCCAGCAAGTCCTGCCTTGGAAAAGAATGTTTGCCACAGGACTTGATTTGCCTTGACTTACCTGATTGTCTCCTGACAGGAAAGGGAAGAAATCTAAACCTGTGAAGAGATTAAAAAAAGAAAAATTAAGCTTCTCAAAATGAAAAAAGAAAAGCACCTCCTCATATCTTCACCATTTATTTTGAAATAAAACCAGCATAATATTGATGACACTTCAGATTTTTTTCACTACCAGAGATATTAACCTATTTTTGTTTTTCTTTTACAATAGTTACTATTGCTTGGAGAGCTGTATTTAGAGGTGCAGAGCCAGAAGCTCACCTTGCAAGTCATAAGGCATTGGTGTCATATGGAATGGATGCCTGTAGTCTTGGATAAGTGATGTGTTGATGTAGCTGGTGTCAACAGCAGGAAGGCTTGGTGTTCTTGACACAGGAGATGCTTGATGGGGTAAATTCAAAATGCTGCAGGAAACAAAAGCTTGTTACAAACATAGAATAGTCTTGGCTTTCTTGTTGTCCCATGCAGGGTATGTTTATTTTCAAATTTAGCTCCTAATTCAAATTTAAATTTCAATTTTCCCAATTTAACTCAATGATCCAAAATGCATCAAGAACTTTGTGAAAGATGTGCAACTGTTAAATGTCAAAGCTTCACAAATGCCCCTCGATGGATCTTGTAGGGAACTGGAAGAAACATGAGCAACACATGTTCCCCAGGCTTTCCCACAGGAAAACCCTTTATCAGCAGGGTTCATTCAGTCCAAGACACGTGAAATTCAGCAAAATTAAAAGGAAAGTTCAGTCTCAAAGAGCAGAAACTGAGGACTCTCCCTGTAAATGATACTGCAATTTCTGCTCTAAATATGTTATTGATACTCCCAAGCCAGGACCAGACAATCCCAAAGGAATCCTGAACCCCAACCCCCCCAGGAATCAGTGGAACAACACAACACTGATACCCTACAAGGTAATCAGCAAATGAGGACAGAAAAAAAAAAGGTCTTGAGGAGTTTTAAGTGGTCACTGAGTCACTCCCATTCCTGGGGGAGGAATCACTCCAACAACAGGATCCCTCTGGTTTAGGCCTGGTTTTGATCCCTGGATATTTATGTAAACCAGGAGCTATTTCCAGCCTGGCTGCTCAGGTGGGACGAGGTTGTGGCAAACCCCAAACCCTCCCACACCACACCCTGCTTCTCCTTGCTCTCTCCAAAGGTGCTGCTTTTCCAGTTCCCTAGGGAAGAAAAGCACTCCCAGACTTGCAAAGAACAGGCTTGGAAGCCACAATTTTTTGCACCATTTTACGCCATTTTCACAACTATAACTGAAATATTTCATTGTGTTGCACACTTAACAACTCAAAGCTGTGATTCCCATCTTAGGCCTTGTGAGCTGAGAGCAAACCCACGTGCTCTAAGCTACTACATGAGGATACAACCCAAATACAGAACTTTCCAGATGTAATTTATTTTGAAGTTTATGACTTCTGTCCATCATGAGCATATTCTCTCTGCACTGGCCTATTTTATCCTCACCCCTTATTATTTAATGGTGATGCTGGAGATATGGAAGGACAGCTCCTCTTGGCAGATGGTTCCTCCTCCTCCTCGTCTGACGAGCTGTCGATGGTCAAATCGATCACTTCCACTTTCTTATTTTTATTTGACTGTTGGTGAGAAGACACCTGATGTTCCAAGGAAGAGCTTATGCATCCTATACAAAGTAAGTCAACAGGAAAAGCTGCAGCTTAAACCAACACTACAATCAGAACATCACAGTTTATTATAAAGCTGTAACTCAAGACGACAAAATTACACAACGTTGGTTAACTTAAAAGCCCCAAACTGGTATTACTCAAGTACTTGTTGTCACAAATGATCATTAAAGCTACAAATATACATCTAAAAATGAGCATTTTGAGAGCTTAAAGGACCATCAATACTCAAGGGTTCCCACTGTAGGAACTTCAGTCCACACCCCCCAGACCGTGACTTACCATCCACGCCGTTGTAAGATGCTGTAACTTCCTGCACCTCCTTCTTGGATCTCATGGGAGCCCAGGATCCATCCTCCTTAAACTGAATTTCATCACAATCTGTACAAAACTTCAGGATTTCCATGAACAACCTGGCCACCAAAAACATTTGATATCAGTCCTCCAGAAGAGCTCGGTTCCTTTTTTCTCCTCCAACACCTTTATTAGTCAATGCAAGTCTGAATCAGGGTTAAAACAAAAGCTTTCATTGCTCTGCCTTTCTCTCATCTGCTTCCTTGACAAAAAGGAACCATGGGAAAAATTCCAATATTATTTAAGAGGAAAATGTGCACATGTATTTCAAAGTACTGGGGTTCTGTTTCTCTCAGGGTTTTAGTTTTGCTTCTGATGTTTTTGTTTGTTTGTTTTGGTATTTTTTTCTGTTTGTTTTTTTTTTTTGAGTCAAACATTCTGAGGTATCCTCAGAAGCCTCAACTTGTTCTCTTCCTTTATCACACTTTGGAAAGAAGATTCTTCTCTAAGAAATTCAAATGCAAACCCAAGAATACACACCTGGCACAGACCAAGCCTAGATTTCTTTATTTTTTTGATGTTTTGCAAGGAGGCAGTACCAGGGAATCAATCTCTGTGTCACTTTGTATAGATGGCAACTCCCCAAGTGTGAAATTGTACATGGAATTGTACATGGATTTGGAGGGCTGGCAGGATTTATTTGCTCTAACGTGTCTGCTATTAAAAAATACCAGCTTTGTGCAGTTGCTCCATTAAAAGAATATACAACATGTGCTGTTTTCACCCAGGAATTCAGCACTACAGACCACGGGGAAAAAAGGGTCATTTTAGGCAGGACAGCTCAAAAATTTCCCCAGGATTGGAAGGAATACCTTTCATTATTATTAAATTTAATAGTTTGATGAGCACAGTTCTTCCAGAACGTTGAATGAAGAGGTATTTGGTCATTAATTCTTCACCAACAGCAGGGAAATTAAATAATATGATGAGTGAAAACAAGTCCCAGCCAGATCACCAGGAATTCAGAGCCCTGGACGTGGACAAGGAGCAGAGGGTGTGAGGCACACCCTTGATCTGGCTTCAAGCTTTACTTACCCATCAATAATGAGATGTTCATAGGGAGCCTTCTTGTCACAGACAGGGCAAACCCAGGTTGGTTTCTTCTCGTTCATCTGAATATAGAGAGTGGCATCAAAGCACTGCAGGTGGGAACAGGTCAGGGCCCTGCAGGGGATGGTCAGACGCATCTTACCAAGCTGGAAGAGGAAAAAAAACCAACAAGAAAACAAGATTAAAACAAGATTGTGTTATTTTAGTATTAAATTAACCATCAAGGGTTTCCTGTCTGAAAAGGGACAGGTTGAGTTTTACTCCGGAAAACTCGCACAGATCTGAGGTTTGATCAAAATACGTGGCACATCCACTGCTGCCTCATTCCTGTAGGTTTGAAATGGCATCAAAGTGAATAAAATCATGTTTTAAAGAATATTTGGTCAAGGAAACTAAGAATACAACCTTCCATATTCCTGAAACAAAATACAGAGTTCACTGAGCACCTGGAACATACCAATGTCCTGGATGGACCAAAGAAAGAATTCTTCTTCTTTAGTATTTTACCATTAAAGTATCATTACACTGAATGCAAAATTGATCAGACAGTGAAAAGCATTTCATAATTATCTGAAATAAGTTTCCCTCTCCTCACAAACCCCAAGCAGTTGTTCTGTGGCCAAGTGCTTACACTGCAGCTTAGGAGGGGCCTGGACTGACCACACTAAAGGTAAGAAGTAGGAATGTCTAAACAAGGCTTTTCCCACATTAAAAACCAACAAAACAATTCTTTATTAAGAACTGTTTATACTGAGGAGTTTGGAGTTATATCTATTTGGCTAAAACATACACAATTCCAGCAGTGGGTGGGAGTAGAACTGGTTTTAGGCCTGGCTCAACCCAGCCCCGTGGCCAGGCTGATCCTGAGCAGTACAAGAGGGATGCCACAGGATGGCACCAATCTCCCAATATCCCCAAACTCAAAACAATCTCAAGAACAAAGGCTCCACTCACAGGCCACCACTTCCTCCATGATGCTTTCATTTTTTTTTTATTCCCCTTAAGCAGAAATCCCTCCACCCCATTCCCAGCAACCCCGGGGTAGCTGCAGGATCTCGCTTGTTTTTCCTCCCTCTGGCTCTCAGTCACTGTCCCAAACTCCCCAGCAGATGGGAGGGGGGCACAGAATTCCCAGGGGAGCCCCAGGAGTGGTGGCAGAGCCTCAGCCCCACGGCAGGAGGTGCTTTTTGTGCCATGTGTTTGGCACCCCCTCCCCCCAAAGCCATGACCAAGCACATTATTTCCATCCCATAACCAACCCCAGGCACAGCCAGGCCCCCTGATCCGTGTCTGTCAGGAATCCTGAGCTCCCAGATGGTGGGTCAATGGCTCATTTGTCTTTTGGGCACAGTCAAGTCTCCCAGCTCAGGGAGCACCAAGAGTAAGGAGAGAAAACCTGGATGGTTCTCTGTGGCTCCAAATGAAAATCAGGAAGGTGAGAGACAAGTGCTGCAGGAAGGACATAAATACCCATCTCCTGGGGGGAAAAAAGCAGGTTGAAACCAGGAACATTTTCCCCAGGTTTTGGTATAAAACCTGAGCCTCTGATTTCTCAGGAGCAGTTAAATTTAGCCAAAATTCAGCATACTCAGTGTTAACAAGTTGCTGCTCCTTTCCCGTTTTTGGCATTAAATCCCGGGATCAGCTCTGCCATGCTGGCCAAGCTGGGGCAGAACTGACAACAAAAAGGTCCTAAAAGGAGGGCTGCATCCCAACTTTGGGAAGCCTGTGATTCCCAGCACTGTGGCTGTTTGATTCCTGCCTCCTGGTAGCCAAAGAAACGCTGCATTAATTCCTTTTCCAAGCACACAAATCCCTTCTATCTAAAACCCGTTCTATTCTAAAAAACCCACCCAAAGCAGGAGCTCAGGATTTGTAAACAAATCCCCCCAAAACCCCCGGTAAAAGGCTACATTTGGAATTTCTGCTCAGTTAAATATTTGCTCCGGCTGCAGAGCCTGGGATTTATTTATTTGTACTTCCAGAGGGAAAAAAAAAGAACATGAATTCAAGTGTCTTCCTGAAATGCAGGCTCAGTCCAGCCCCTTTGCTGCTGTATCCTGGATGGATCCAGGCAGCAGTTAAGGGCAGTTTTCCCTCCCTGGTCTCAGAGGCCTCTGTGCTATAAAAAGCTCGGGAGCAATCCAAAACAAATTCCCAGGAAGCTCCTCCTCTGTGCTGTTCTGAGGGCAAAATAAAGGTTAGAGAGACTAAACCCAGCACCCCCAGTTATTTTATTGGATAGAAATCCCAGCCAGGAGAGGGGAGAGCAGCACTCCCACACTCCCAGAGCTGAAGGAAGACCCTTCTTGTCGTCCCTTCATTTCTCATTCTGCTCCTGGAGACCAAATCAGCATTTTCAGGGTGTGTTTTCAGAGCATTCAAGCTGGAGAAAACAACCACAAAAAATCCAAGACAAAAAAATCCTCCCTGAGCCAAATGTTTATGAATTATCAAGTAAAAATATGGAGGCTGTAAATGAAATTACGGTCAGACCTGAGGACAGTCTGAACCGAGGTAAAACCTTTCTGTTCACAGGCTGAAAGGTTCCATCTCTGGCCCAAAGAACCTGGGATGGATTATTCCAAGAGCTGCAGTAAAATCAGGCAGCACTGAATAAGGAACACACTGGAAAAAGTCAAGTGTAACTGTTTTGTAGGCATTAAAATGACAAATATGCTCAGAATAATCTGCTATATTCTTTGGTTTGTACATCTCTCACAAATATAGTGCGTTTGAAAGAGGAAATTCTGGCAAAGGTGGGAATTCTGGAGAGTCACATCCTACTGTCTGATGCTGTTTTGTTGTTTTACCCCTGGTAGAACTCAGAGAGCAAAAGAGAATTTGGCATCTTGAGGCTCTGCCAAACCTGCAGTCCTAAAGGGAAAATTGGAGGGGATATTCCTGCTCTAATCCCAACCCACCTGAACTGTACTCAGAGGAAAAAAGCACTGCAGAAGAGCTTTTATCAGACTGGAGGCAACGAGGACAAACAGAAATGTGTCAGAAAACTCCCACGGAATGATCTGTAAACCATCACTTGGACAAATCAAATACAACTGAAGTAAAAATCTGTATTTCTACAAGAACTCTTTCCTACAGATTAACTTTACCTTCCTTATAGATTCCTTATCTTCCTTAGTGTTGATGTGGAGAAAGTCTGAAGACCGAAGATCATGACAATACCCCATTTAAAGATTTATAAGAACATAACACACATATAAAAAGCAACCACGATGTTAATTGTGCTTTTTATGAAGCAGAACTCACGCCTCTAAAAGTTTATCTTGAAGAACATATTAAATAGCTGGAGAAATAAGCTCCAGTTCTGCAAGAATAAAGTCAGTTTAGATTGTTCTTGTTTAGATTTTAAAACAGAGTTTCATGTTCAGCTCGAGCAGATTGAGCCAGACCAGGAAACAGATGTATCCTTAATCTTGGAAAGAGGTTAAAAAGTTATACTGCAATAAAGATATTATGTCAGTCAATACACAGAGCAAGTATTCTGAAGCACTGCACCTGAAACAAGTCCCAAAAAAGTGCATATCATGTTAATATTGTGCATTTTACCACTGACAACATAAACCCACTGCATCTACTTGGTAAAAGAACATTTAGTAGGTCAAGATACAGGTTGTCTGTGCCACTTCCACCTTCTTTGGAACTGTTTCTCCCAGTTCAAATTTGGAATAAAACAAATTTTGTTTGAACAACCTCTAGGAAACTGCTTTGTTTTTAGTTGAAGATTATCAAATCCTCAAAATATTGAACATAAAATCGATTTCAGATGCTCAACACTTTGACTGCAGGCACTGACTGAAGAGCTGCTTTTAACAGTCAGGTTCCCCACCTTACCCCTGAGAGTGGTTTTATCAAATCTGCACACTCAGGTGATCAGATTGAACCAGATTTAAAAGACACATTTAAATGTAAGCTTACCTATATTTTGAATAACGTCTCCAAGCTAATGGAATCCCTGTTTCCTCAGGGGTGTATCACAGGCTTTTGATGCACGGTGAGAGATAATTTTCTATCCCCACAAAGTTAAACCAGGTAAACACAAGGTAACCTCTCCCACACACACATCCCAGAACAGCCACGTTTTAACCAGAATCAGTTTGGAGGGAATAAAAAAAAAAGACTTACTGGGCAAAGAAGAGACACTCTTAAGCTTGTTGTTGCTATTTCACTGTCTGGATCAGCAGTCAGCTTCTCTTTAACTGTTATTTGAAAGAAAAAAAGGTTGATTTTATGTTAATTTGAAACATAAATTGGGTGATAAAGAAATAAAACAAGACTGAAACCATGTGCTAAACTTTCTACTGGAAGCCAGAGTCTGACTGTTGCTCCAGACCCACCCCAACAGACTTGACTCTCTAGAAAGCCCAGAAACAACAGGATTTAAGAAAGTGAAAAGCAGAAAAGCTCATCTTAAACCAAGATCCCTAGAAAATGTACTTGTACAGAGATGGCTTTTCTCATTTACAGGCAACTTGGCACTTGACCATTAGTTAAAATCCACCCACAAGATGAGCTACATTGATTTCACTTCTAACTTCAAGCACATGAAGTGAATGTGTTAACAACTCTCACACTCACAAGGACCACTGTAAACCCCCAAAACAGTCATCAAGTGATCCTGTGATTTAAAACTGAAAAGCAAATGGAGAAACAGGGAATCAGAAACACTCTGAAAAAAAATCTGAGTTTTAAATAACTGCAGTAAAATATTAGAGCCTTTCATCTCTAGAGTCTTTCACCTCTCCCCATCCTCTGCTTTTACTTACAAGTTTTATAAGCAGTCACTGATTAAATGAACAAATCAGCCCCATTTTTTCCTGCTCTGAACTGGCCCTACACACTCATTCTCACCTTGTACACACAGAGTAGAAGCCACCTGGAAACTCTCTAGATTTCTGTGCCTTTAAATCAAACTGCATTAGCACAAGGTAATGCCCAGCACTGTGGAGCATTTACTGCTGGACTAATTTCTTTCTTGTGCTGTGTAAAACACATTATCTGAGCATAAAAGAGTAAGAACAGTGATCAGGTGTTGGTATTTTCCCCCTCTCCCTGAAAAACAAACACGCAGCAGTTTTTGCTTTCGTTTCTATTACACAAACTTAGCCCAACACGTTGTTGTCAGAGAAAACAATAAGGCAGCAAATCTCCCACTCCAGTCTGGAGGGGGCTGGGAGGAGGATTGTGCTGGACATTCTCCCTCCAGGCTCCCTGCAAACCCTGTGCCAGAGGAACAAAAACTGTGCTGATGAATCCTTTCCTCCTCAGCACCCAGGTTCAGTGTCAGGCATTTAGTTCAGCCCGAGGTGCTGAATTACCAGCTAACTGTATAAATACAGTTGTTCCATTCTGAAGAAACAAAGCCAGTATGGCTGAACTGAAAGAGATTCTCTTGCATTTTTCCCTTCCCAGTGTCAACAGGGTTCCTGGACTGGCTCCTAATCCAAACAAAGGCCTCTGAGTCTTTGAATTGGAACTGAATACAAAGAACACCACTATCAGATTCCCAAAACCCAGGGAACTGTAGGAAGTCCAAACCTCGGGTAGCACAGTGCTGTTTGAAATCTCCCTTTAAAGAGCTGTTTTCCCTGTTAAACATCAGACATACTCAGGGCTCTGGAGTGATCCGGGTTCCGAATTCCCTTCGCTCGCAACCTCTGCAGGAGCACCGTGGAGGACAACTGCTTCACCAGGTACACTGCCATGGAATAGTTCTGGGAACACAGCAAAACATCACAGGAAACACTGTTTTCATCAAAAGACAGCTTGTATTTTATACCACTTGTTCTGTGTTCCTAACAGGCTTGGGACAGCAAAGTTTTCAGAGCAGAGAAAACCCCTCGTGCTCCAGGAAGTTCACAGGGCTGGAGTTTGGGATGCAACACAAGTGACTTCATGCTTTACTCACATTTAACTGCAAACCAAGCTATTAAAACAGCATTTAGGACACTTCTGGAAGTTTTACCCTTTCAGCAGGGTAATTTTACGTTACCCCGTGTCAGTGCATCTAATTTTACAGGGATGCTGTGAGGTACTGCCCCTGTGTCCATGTATTTAAGGGAAGCTGTCGGGTCAAATATTATCAGAACTTTTCCTTTTTGTTTTTTTCTAGTAAAAGCTTATTTTGTTTTCAAAATAGGAAAGGGAGCAGTGATGCCTCTTCCAAAGGAATACCTAAAAAGATGCATCACCTGCAGGATCTGCTACTCAGTCTGGAAGCACTGTTCATCCTTTCCTTACTTTGCTGCACTTAGCTGTGTCTGAAACAAGAACTTCACTGCTGAAGCAGAACAGCAGAAAGGCAGTGAAGGAGTTCAGGACGTGCTCTGGAGAACCAGCCCAAGAAGTCACCGCTCCCATGTCCTGTCCTTCCCCTCCCAGGAGGTCGGGTCACTTCCCCACCAGCCTCAGCAGAGCTGACCCTGCCAATTTTCCTTATCCATGCCAGGGAAAAGCCATGGATGCTCCTTTCTGCCAATACATTGGGATCCAAGCAGGTTGGATGCAGAACTCCAACTCTGCCAGGCCCCCCTTCCCTCGAGGGCCGAGCTCTTCCTGGCATCGAGTTCAAACCACAGCCTGGCATTTCTGAAGCTCTGATTTTTCTTACAAGCTTCTAAAAAAGCAGGTTATAAATGTCTTTCTAAAAATGTGAGATTATACTGTGCATTCATCAGCAACACCCCAAAATGGAAAGGACAAATCTCGTGTTCTCACATTAGGGCACATCAATTATTTTGATATAAACATTATTGCCTAAACCTGTAGCTGCATTCATACAATTTAAATTGAAAAATGAAAGGCTTCCCCCCAGCAACTGCCACATGTGTTTTTACTTAAACAAACAAAAAAAATCCATACAATTGTGACATCTACTAGGTTTTATTTAGGATGCCACCAGCATGCAAAGGCAGGGTTTCAGTAATATATCTCACCACAAAATTACTCAAATTGAAATGGCATCAAAACACCACATTTTAAATATTTCATTCTTACAATGACTGCTTCTCACATCGTTAAAAACCACTACTGCTTTAACTTGTTTGTTTAATGCCTCAATTAGTATAGAAGTTAGAAAAATGCTAATTAACGTTGTGAAATTATTTACCGACAGCTTGAATCTACAAAGGCAGGAACTCGCCCAAGGCAGCTGGTGCAGAAGGCTCTTGAAACAGATTGTGGAAAAATCCTAGAGATGACTCCAGGAAAGGTAGAGAGCACCAGTTGGGACATGTGAGTGACTCTTGAGGGGAGGGGAAGAGGGGAATCCAAATTTTGTATTATATGGGCAGAGCCAGAAATAAAATAATTCCTCACATTTAACTCTCAAAGAATCACTTTGGGATTGTGGCTCAGAATCACAGGATGGGTTGGGTTGGAAGGAGCCTTAAAACTCATCCCATTCCACCCCCTTGCATGGGCAGGGACACCTCCCACTGGACCAGGTTGCTCCCACCTGGATTTGAGCACTTCTGGCATCTAATGCTCCTGAGAAGTTACCCAATATGTTCTTTATAACTGAAATATCTGTGAAGCCTGAGAACCAACTAGTTCACAGGAGACTAACTCGGAGTGCAGGGCATTCCTCCTCCCTAAATCCTCCCTGATCTTCCCAAGACTCAGAGCAATATCAGGATCCATCCCCTTGCATGGAGGCACTTCTGCAGTGTGAACCAAACCAGTTCTGGTACCTGTAGCTCTCATGAGAGAAAAGAAAGGTTTTCTGAAGGATCATCCAGCCATCATTTATTCCACAATCTGGATGGAGATTGTTTTGTGCTCCACAAGAAATCCATCCCGAAATGCCCTGGTGGTGTTTTAGAGCTGCCCATTGTGCAGGATTGGGCTGTAAGCATTTTTCCAGGCTGGATCAGGAATCCTGGGCTTTGCACACTGACAAATTCTTGGACAAGGTTTCACCTCAGGACAATTCTCGGCACTTCTAATAACAGGATGGTTGCAGTGGCACCAGCACACGCTGCCCCTGGAATGCCCATCCAGCAGGTTTGGTGCCAGCACTGAAAGCACTTCACTAATTCATGGACTCATTTACTGAAGTCACTTTTTGCAGCATGTTCCAGATTTAATTAGTCCAGTGGAACATCAGCAATTTTACAACACCAATTGTAACGTTCTCCCCACAGACACACACACACAAAAAAAAAGTGATAAAACCGTGAGTTTTTAAATATGAAATGTAAGAATGGCAGTTGTGAGAAGAGAAATGTAAAAAGGCCAGTGAAATCTGCTGGGCCCTGCTGAGCTGTGATGCTTTGTGTCCACACTCACAGCTCTAAAGGGCCACTCTGTCCTCAATGTCACGTGCTGGGTACAAGTCAAAGCCAAGATAAGGTTTGTCGAGCCCCTGAAGTCAGGAAGAGCTTGAAGTCTGAAGTTTGGCCAAATCAACAAACAAAAATCTTATAGGATGTCTTGATCTCGTTATCTGAGCCCTCAGTGAGTCACAAAGGTGGGTGGGGGGTGAAGAGGGAGAGCTCACACCACAAAAACGTGAGCGCACTGATCTGAGGGAGCACGTCCTATCTCCTGCCATCAAGGAATTCCATCAAAAGAAGGAACAGTCCAGTGCAACTGCACCAAGGGCTTTCTGCACAATTAAACCTGCTTATCTTTCAGATCTTTCAAAGCACAAACTGCCAAGGTTTGAGCAGCCACTTACTCTCCCGATCTCCGCGGTCCAGGAGACAACGATTGTGTTTGGTACCGTCGTGGACAACCTGACGAGTGAGGTAATGTTGATTGGTCTGCTGGGGCGCTTTGGTTCAACACCATTTTTGGTTGGTGGAAGGTAGCCCTGGAAATCAAAGCATTTCATCTCTCAGACACACAAAACAAAAAAAAATTCAGCATTGCTTTTGTCTTCTTCTCACCACAACCCTGCCTGAGCTGCGTCCCACCCGAGCCAGGCTTTGACTCAAACAGAGAGAGGGATCAGACAAAGTATCAGGTGTTTTAGAAGCTCTTTCTCCTCACAGAGAAATCCAAAATCCCTGCCCATGGAATATTAAAAGGCCCCTCTCAGCAGTGCTACTGAACCTGCCTGGCCAACACTGCCCACTCCAACCCCCTGCGCTGCCCCGAGACTGTCACTGGGGTTTGTCAAACACAAAAATACACTGTCATGGCTTCTGGAAATTAATCTTCTCCTAAGAAACAATGTACTTAATCTTTTCTAGTCATTCAAACACTCCAGAACGTGAAAACAAAGGTTAGGATAAATTTTCAGGCTAATTGCTGCCAGACAATTCCTAGTGATGCTACCCAAAAACGTGTATCAAAAGAACATCTTACTTACTGGAAGGCTGCAGGGTTTCCCATTTACTTTCACACACAGATTGGGTGGGAAGTGATCTTCTTGTGGACAACTGGTTTCTGATAAACAAAACCTAAAAGCAAAGAGCTCCCATCATCTTTCACTTTTCAAGTGACTTCAAGTGACATCTCTTCCTAGAAGGAATTTGTTTTCCACTGAGCAACGAAAGCACGACAGGTCTTGCTGAACACAGTCCTCCAATTAGCTGGACACATCACTGAGCAGGAAAGCCCCCCAAAATTACAGCAGTTCAAGATGGCTGTAGGTTCCTCCTCAGACTCCCTGAGTTCCTCCCACTGACTAACTCCTTCCCACAGGCAGGTTCCTGCTACAAAAGACAGCTCATCCCAGTTTCTTTTCTGCCTTTTCTCCAGACCTCTTGACACAAGTCCAGAGCTTCACAAAGGACAAAAGTTAGGCTCTTCCACTGTCCTTCCTCCAGGCAGCTGCTGAGGCACAGCCATGGAACCCTGAGGCCTGGGGCAGATCTCTTAGTTCAGGCAGTTTAATTTATTTACTGAAGTTCAAACAGGTTTATTTGCTGCTGGATCCAAGACAGGACACACCCTTCCCTGTCCCAGGCCAAGATAATGGACAATAGGCAAAGGACCAAGAGCCTCTCAGCTCCCCTGGATTCCTTTCAGGGGACCTGTCCCATCCCATCAGGGTACAGCTTCTCAAGGCAGCTGCTCCCAAAAAGGGGGAGCTGCCTCTGTCCCCCTTTTCCCTCATTCCCTCCTCATCCCTTTGTCCATCCAATTCCACGCTGAGCCAACCCAGCTTGCTGATACAGAGGATTTCATCAACTTATAATAAACTTGTGGAAACCTCTAAAATAACCAGCAGGTTCAGACCCAGCCTGGTGATTCCCAAAGTGTTGCTTAAAGAGAAGTAGCCCTTGGGTTGCCATGGCCATGGAATTCTGTGCCTGACAGCTCTGCCAGGAAAAACCCCCTTCCCTGCTTGGAAATTCTGAAGGCCCAGGCACATGGAATCTGCCAGCGGAGTTACAGGAAGGAGGATTCACACAATCTACAACCACTAACAAGAAAATCAACCAGGATGAGGCTCTTCTCCACCCTGATCTGCTGGATAACATATGGCTGATCCAGCTGGAAAACCAGCAGCACGGAGAACAGGCAGTAACACACCTACCTTAGCTGGACCTGTACTGTGAAGTCACATTTGGTCCCAGAAATATCCCTGGAAATAACAGAACACAGGTTAAAACACTGTTTTTCACAAGAGATTCATCAATATTACAATACAGATTCCTCCAGAGTTTGCCCTAAGTTCAATATATATACCTTTCTGGTATATATGGTGTGTATATATATATGATATATATCACACTTTGCTGCTTCTGGTCAGTCAAACCACCACTCTCAGGACACATTAAAAGGCACAGTTTTTATTCTTCAAGGTAAATAAATCAATTACATTCTCATCTGACCTCTGCCACTCCCTTTTTTTTTTTGTACACCGTAAATAAAATTCTGATAGGTCACTATAAAATACCATCATTACAGTGAATAAAGTATAAAATACCATCTTTATAGTGAATAAATTATAAAATACCATCTTTATAGTGAATAAATTATAAAATACTGTCTTTATAGTGAATAAATTATAAAATACTGTCTTTATAGTGAATAAACAGAACTTGAGAAAGGATCTGGCTGGTGGCAAGGAAGGGCTGCAGGAAGCAGAGTTCTGAATTTGCACACAAGAGAAACCCACCCAAAACACCCCAAAAGTGGGAGAGTTTAATCCTCCCCTCCTCACCCCTCTGCTCCCCATCAGTTCACACGGAAAGGGGAGGAGAACTCCCCTTCTCTGAGCACTGCACACACCTCACAGTTCAAAACTAAAGGGGTGGGATGCTAATTCCTGCTTTAATGCCTTTTTTTTATGGGAATACTGCTGGAGGCCACTCACATGGAACTGCTGATTTGCTGCACTTGCTGCGGCGTCAGAGCGAACGCAAAGCAGGTTTCTCGAAACCGCTGACTATTGTCTGAGGCTGCAAGAGAACAGAGAGCAACTTCAAAAAACCTGCACAGGGATCCATTCACATCCTTTGTCACTAAACTCTCCACAAATACACTCGTTTTTACAGCCACATCTGCTCCTGTAAACAGCTCCGGAGCCAACGAGTCGCCGCTTCAACCCTCCTGTAAATAAAAACAGGATGAACAAACTTTACGTGCAGATAAAATGTACATTCGAGAAGTGGTTAAAGGAAAATATAGATTAAAAGAGCGATGCAGATAACAGCAAAGCTGAGGGGAATCAGCTTAAAACTTTTATCAGTAACCGAATGGCAAATGTTCTCTGATATCCAATGAATTCTTAGGAATTCTCGTCCATCACTTTTTTATGTCCTTGAACACCCAAGATCATGGATTAGCCTGTAAAAGTTCACAGAGGGACTGAAGCATAACACATGCAACTTCTCCCATTTCAGGAAGGTATTTCATGGAGTTAAATGCACTAAAAGATATGTAATATGCCAAGAACTCCTGAGACATGCAACTATAAAATCTGCTTTTAAAGCCCTTCGTAGTGTCCCAGAACAAAACAAACACTGCTCAAGAGTTAATGCTCCTGCTGAAAATCAAAGTCATGTTAAATATCTCCAAAATAGTTCTTTTATCTAAAACAAATCCCTTCCCAGGGCTACAGGCACCGAGAATGACACACTGGTAATGAAAACAGCTTTTTAAAAAAATAAATTAAAAGAAAGAAGCATCTCCCCAGAGAACTGTTCCACACTCTCATCAGCACATACATTGAAGTGCAAGTTAAAGCAGCTTTTCATTCAATTCCATTATTCTTAATAATTTTATAAGGCTATGAATAAATATATTGTGCATTAAACACTCAATAAATGCATCAATTTTTGGTTTACTATAATGCACTTCCTGACTCAGCCCTGAGTGACAGATGAGTGAAAACTTCAGGGGGAGACTCCAGATCCTCTGTTCAAAGCAGCATGTGGTAGGTTGGAACCAACAATAGCAAAGACATGGAGTGAGTATAAATATTAACAGCAGCAATCTCCTAAAATTTACATTTCTGTCTTTCTTGCATGACAGTCCTACAATCTACACACTCATTGCATTATGTAATAGGTAATAATAATTATATAGAATATATTTTATGTACTATATATATCAATATAAATTATATATTATGATCAGCTGCTCCAAAGCTGGATGGGCAGGAACAGGTAACAAACTTCTGGGACAATACCAGCAACAGGAAACCTTCTAAAAATCATAAATTATTTCTATAACTTGCTATATTTTGATATCCATACATTTCCTCTCCACCAACCATGGCAGCAAAATGTGAGAGTCTGCAGGAAACAGAAACACAATGTGCACAATTAACAATGAGAAGCTGTTTGAACATTTGGTTTTCAATATAGTTTTGCACCTATTTTTAGTTATCAATGGAAAAGTCAGAATTACATATTGTCATCAACAAAAGGTGAATTAGCAAAGCCAAAGCACTGCAGAACTGAAGGAATTCCAGGTATTATTTCCTAGTGTTCCATGGGTTTATCTGCCTGGTTTATTTGCCTCCCGTGGATTATTTGCTTTACCCCACAAATTGTCGATTTTGGCTTTATTGAAAAAGTTTTGGAAGGTTTTTGTCAACTTCTCCTGTGAACTCCAACACCTTTAATTAAAGGCTGCTGAACATTTCACTAATGCTACACTCACTGAAACCTTAATTATCCAACAAGTCAAACAGCAGCCACCAAAATTCCAACCTCAAGTTTCCCAAGTGATCCTTTTCCCTTTCACCTGCTCATCTTTTTGCTTTCTTGGGCTTTACAGCAGCCTCAAATGAAGGAATCCAGCAGGGAATATGGGAAACAGGAGGAACTGGGTCAGGAAAACTATGACAGAGTTGCCATCACGGGACAAAGATCCCGAAATTCAATCCTGTTTCCTCTCGTTAATATAAGACTTATTTTCCCTTTATAACAATATGTGATTTTGAGAAGTGGGTTTCCAACTTCTGTATTCCCAGAATCGTTAAGGTTGGAAAAGACCTCCAGGATCATCAGGTCCAACCTTCAACCAAATCCCAACTTGTCAACTAAACCATAACTAGTTTTTTGAACACTTCCACGGGGGGTGACTCCACCATTTCCCTGAAGAACTTTATTTTAATACTTAAACAGTCAGTCAAGAAATTTTTCCTAATATCCAACTCCTGCATTGGCCAAATTAAAGCATTTCTACACTCAATTGGGAGAAAATTTAAAAGTACATTTTTGAGTGATGCCACGGGAGCTTCCCCAGTCTCAGCTGCCCTCGTGAGCCAAGTTCTACCACGATGGGAAGAGAGGAAATAGCCACTGCTGGAACCAAAAACCTAAGGGAAAAAAGCCTCCAACATTTCTTCCTGTGGTTTGGGTTTTTTTTTTTTAATTTTCAGTGGTTTTGGTGCAGTTAATGCTGCACCATCTGCTGAAGTGGGGACATGGAGTGAGAGGACAATGGCTTAGAGCTGAAAGAGGGTGGGTTTAGACGGGATATTGGGAAGGAATTCTTCCCTGGGGGGGCTGGAATGAATTTCCCAGAGAAGCTGTGGCTGCTCCTGGATCCCTGGAAGTGTCCAGGGCCAGGTTGGACAGGGTTTGGAGCAACCTGGGCTGGTGGAAGGTGTCCCTGCCCGTGGCTGGAACAAGATGAGCTTTAAGTCCCTTCCAACCAAACCATCCTGGGATTCTGTGACATGCCTTTGTCTTACTGACTGGGAGTAAAATCCATGAGCTGCTGGATCAGTGGTCCCAGTGCTGGGATGTTCCTTCAAAGCAGCACTAACCCCCACTCCGTGTTCTCCACACGTTTCTGTGCACCAGCAATCCCGGGATTCCTACGGGAGCAGGGTCAAATTGCCAAGGAGGCAGAAAAAACTTGTTAATTGGGCAAAGATGCTCCAAAAGCCAATAAAATATTGCAAAACTCTTGACAGAGAGAACAAGACAAGAACTACATCACTCTAAACTACAACAGCATCACGGTCAGGCCCTTCAACCACCACCAGGACACAACTCTGCCCCTTGGATGTGGAACCACAACCGTGGAGCTGCATCTCAAAGGAAGATAAAATATGGTTTTTCTTTGTGGTTTTCTCTAATCTTCTCCTTTAGCTTCTTTTTAGACCCATATCTACTCCTTCTAGATGTGCTTTACCCTGCAAATGACGCACGAAAATTTCAACCAACCACATTAAACTGAGCTCATTTAGCAGCTTGACCATTAAACACAAAATTCCAAGTGACTGAAACACCTCTATGTCCAAGGACTTGAGATTTTTCAAGGAAGAGGCATTGGAAATCTGGAATTTAAGTGTAGAAAAGCTGCTGACAGATTTCTATTAATTCATCTGGTGTAGCAGAACAGCAAACAGACTCTGGCAAGTCAAGCTCATCCTTTACTTTCAAAGTTCTGGGGTCTGATTAAAACCAGAACTATGCAAATGTATAGTTTCATATGAGAAAACCATTTTGAGGGCCAGAAACACAACCATGTCCTGCAAACAACTATTATTATTTAACAACAGAAAGGCAAAAATAGCTCTGCAATCGAAAACCAAGTGGATTAAAATAGAATTTATAATCCAATAAAGCTGAAATCAAGCCAGGACAACAGAATTAACACGGACATTCTTAAGAAAGATGCCAGGAGTGTTTTTTTGGAGGGTTGGGTTTGGGTTTTTTTCCATAACTATGAATTATTAGATATTATAACCTTTTCTTTAGCAGTCTCTGAAGGGAACAGAGCTTGGAGGATGAGTTAAGAGGTTTACAGGCCATGTCTCCTTTGCAAATTCAGGAAGGAGGGACGTCTAATGGACTTTCATTAATTTAATTTCTATCTAAAGAACAGAAGTGCAGTAATTTCAAAGAAATACATGAAGCACAAGCATCACTTTAGCTTGCTGCTCAAAAATTCCCTGAATAATTCAGAAATCTGAAAGGGCACGTTTGGAGAGTGTAACACAAAGCTCTGCAAGCAGAATTATGGCATTAAATGAGTGTCAGCAAGAACAGTTTCAGTGTACAAAATCCACATCTCATCTTACTGGGATCTCACTGGTTTGGAGGGGAGGGTTATTTCCTACTTCTTCATCCATCCAGCTTAAATCCAGGGAAGGCAATGAAGAAAATCCATGTTTTCTTGTAAACTTGTACAGACATTAAGAACCAGCACAGGCTCAGCTCTGTTGCCTCTGCAGGTCCCAATAATTAGTAAAACACAGTCAAAAATGCCTAAAATGCTGCAAAAACATGACAGAGTTTTTTCTTCCAAGCTCTTCTTTTACCAATCCCTGAATTATTCCAAGCTTTCCATCAGGTCACGATCCAAAGAGAATATGGGATTGGTGGATATTAACTGAGAGGGGCCCAATTCTGCCTTCCTGGTTGTGGAGTTCCTTAAAACATTTCACGTGAGTAAAGTTTTCAAAATCGGAGGGAAAACTATTTTAATATATTTTAATTACCATGCAGTTAATATATAGAGTGTATAATTAATAATGTAATTAATGTATATAATATATATATAGTTTATATAATTAATGTTTTTTAATATGTGGCAGTATCATCCACAGGTCTAAAACACTTAAAATCCTATATAAATATATAAATATATATACATATATACACATAATCTATCTATCACTTATATAAGTAATAATGGTACATAAAAGACATTTCCTACCAATTTTATTCTTTATTTTGGAAAACCCCTCCAGCACTAGAGTGAAAAAAGGAACCCAGTTTGAGTGGCTGCATTTTCTACAGCTCTAAAAATATTCTGTTCCACCTCACCAGTACCCAGGGCTAAAAATAGCCACACAATCTTTCTGCAGCAAAATACCTCTTGCTGTCTTGAGAAAAAGCCACTCTCTCCATTCCCATTCAGGAACAGCCACCTTGAAATCTTTAATGAATCTTCTGATATCACGCTGCTGAGGTGGAGACATTTCCTGATGCTA